AGGCTGGCCTTGAGCTCACTTTGTAGCCCAGGCTGGCCTCGAACTCCCAACGATCCTCCTGCGTCAGCCTCCTAAGCGCTGGGATTACAGGCGTGCGCCACCACGCCTTGCGAAGGGGCACTCCTTAAATATCATGGATTTTGTACTTCCTGCTACTTGAATATACGGGAGGCACACCATGGTACTCGACTGCTTTGAAACTCCTTGAATCCGGGTCTTGATCCTTTTTTTTTTTTTTTTAAGCTGGTTATGCAGGCTGGCCTTGAACTCACTTTGTAGCCCAGGCTGGCTTCAGACTCGTGGCAGTCTTCCTGCTTCAGTCTCCCGAACGCTGGGTTTACAGGACTGTGCCACCACGCGCGGCTTGTATGCATTTTTGATGCTAAAATTTTGTCCTGTTACTCGTGGTTTTTTGGGTAGTTGATGCACGAGCTACGACTTGTCACTTGCTATCCTTTCCAACCAAATTTGTTTGGTACTCATCGCCTACTAGAACCAGTTAACAAATGTGGGGACTGGGGATTTAGCTTAGCCGCACAGCACCTGCCTGGCAAGTGCAAGGTCGTGAGTTCGATTCCTGGTACCGGAAGAAAAACAAAAACAGAAACAAGAAAACAAAGCAAACAAGTGTGTAGGTAATGCTCTACAGTGGTACCTTAGTTCACTAATTCAAATTGTTCCACAATTTTGGAAAAGTTGGCCACGTTGTGCCAGAAAGATGACTGCCGTTGTGTCACCCAATGTAGAGTTTGCAGACCAAAACAAAATTTTGCTAAATGCTTTTGTTTGCGAAATTGTTTGCAAATAAAAGCATTGGTATAAGGAGGTACCATTGTATTACCATTTTAAAAACATAACCCTTTAGCCGGGCAGGGTGGCACATGCCTGTAAGCCCAATACTTAGCAGGCTGAGGCAGGAGGGGGTTCCAGCCCAATCCAGGCACTTAGCGACTTAGCAAGACCTTGCTTCAAAATAAAAAGTAAAAAAGCACTGAGGATGTAGCTTAGTGCGAAGGTCCTGGGTTCGATCCTCAGTAATGGAAAGAGAGAGAGGCAAAGACAGAGAGAGGAAGTCAGACACGAGCTTTACTCCAGCTGTCTTATCTAGGGACTACATTGTCCTCATTCCTGCTAGCAGGCGTGAGTTCCAGGTACCTGTGCTCAGGCCGGCCCAGGCTGTCGGGTACAGGTATGGAAGGATTAGTTCCTGCGTGTCAAGTGCTGAAAGGGGCAGCATTGCTCAGTGGGAGGGGGTGGGTAGCTGTGAAGTGGAGGAGATGTCAGAAAAATTCCTAGCTCAGTTTTCAAGGGGTCGATCCCTGAAAACAGGAACACTTCTGGCAGAAGAAGCAACTTCAGCAAATGTGTGGGTCTAGATGACACTGAAAGATGTGTCCCGTAAGGAGGTAAAGGTCCCAGGTACGTAACCATGAAAACTTCAAGGCATAGGGGCGGGGAAGGCACAGGCTCCAGCCGCCAAGGACAGCGTTTCGGAGAGGCCCGCGGAGGCCAAGAGAAAGCCGCTGTCCACACTGCAGGTGGGAGGTCTCCTGTGTGGGAGAGCCGGGGACAAGGACTGAGTGTAGCCCAAGTTCTGAGGCTTGTCACTGGGAATCAGTCATGTTCCCATCGCTGGGAAACAGCCAGTACCCACAACTAAGGGAGGTGAGGCTTACTTCACTCGAGCTTCAGCTCACAGTGGGCTTAGAGCCAAGGCAGGGCCACCTGGCAGAGCGGCTCACCCTGGCGCCCGAAGCGGAGCTAGCTAAGGGTGGGGAGATAGGGCCTTCCAGGCCACGCCCCCACGCCACGCCCAGGCTCCGCTCCCTGCATCGTTTAATTGCAAAGTTGTCTCCCCCCAACTGATAATTACCACGTCCCCATGATCCAGTCGCCTCCCCAAGTCCCCACCTACTAGCATGTGAGGCTTTGTGGGGCGGGGGACATCTAGATACAAACAGTAAGAGTTGCAGGAATTACCTGACTGGGGCAGAAACGAACAATGTTAAATGGTAAGGGACCCTTAGGAAAGCCAGCGTGGGGCCAGCGGTGCAGAAGTCCGGGCAACATGAATTTCCCGACGGGGAGAGGCCTGGGCCCTTGGAGCCTGTGGGATGCAGCCAGAAGTCGAGAGGCGGAGCTGCGAATTCCCTATTTCAACTTACACAGGCTTTCGAGACCACCCTGGGCTACAAAGAGAGCTCAAGGCCAGCCTGAACCCTATAGCAAGATCCTGTCTCAAAAAAGACCAAACAAACAAATCAACTGACACACGCTTAATACCTTGAGGTACTGTGGACGCAAAAAGGAGGTAGACGTGAGCTCTCAATGGGACAGGAAGGACTTGTTCCTGTCCTCCAGAATAGGAGGCAGGGCCTTTTCAAGTGTGCATGAGACCCCGTTGTTTTGCAAACATTTCCTCAACTTCTCCACTTTACATCAAGACAAATACTTTCTCCTGGAATGTGAACTTGGTAGCTAGGCATTTTTTCCTCCGGTACTAGGAATTGAACCCAGGGCCTTACATTGAACTAGATCCCCTGCCATTTTTATTTTTTTGAGACTGTCTTGCTAAGTTTGCCAGCTTTGAACTTGTCATCCTGGTTCAGCCACCTGAATAGGGCAGTCAGACATTTCTTTGCCGATCTTGTTTTTATCTTTAGTATCAGTCATTTATCCCACACCCCCCCATATCATTTTGCTCTGCAGTTTCATTAACCCAGTGCTTTTTATGGGAGAGGCGTGAGAGGGGTTTATTTCACATAAACTTAGCAACTTTCTCTGGTCATGCCTTTGCACATGTAAATCCCGGCACCCACGAGGCCAGCCTGAGCTACATAGTGAGTTCGAGATCAGCCTGACCTAGCTACTGAGACTCTATCTTAAGAAAAAAAAAAAAAAATCTAATGAGGCAGGAGGATAAATTTGAGTTCGAGGCTAGACTAGCCTACATAGTGAATTCAAGGCCAGCCTGAACTACATAGTGAAACGCTATCTCAAAGAAAAAAAAATAGCAACTTCCTGAAGCATTTTTACCCAAAGATTTCCAGGAATTCTTTTTTCTCCATGCCATGCCTCTTATTTGCTAGGGAAGTAAAGCTACACCCCTAGCCCAGGAAAAAAACTGTTTAAATAAAAATGGTATATTAAGATGTATGTAAACTTAAAAAAAATTTTTTTTTGAGATGAGGTCTCGCTATGTTGTTCAGGCTGAACTTGAACTGGCTATCCTCCTGCCTCAGCCTCCTGAGCGCTGGGATTACAGGCGTGTGCCACTGCACCCTGCAGTCCTTTGAAATATTTTAGATGGCTTGGACTCTGTCCCAGAGCTGGTGTACAGGCGTCCTGTCATTTGCTGAGAGCACCTCTTGGGGGTCACTTCCAGGCTGAGGAAGACTGCACAGGCCCACCCAGTAGAGACCTAGACACTAAGAAGCTTCCTTCTCATTCACCCAGCCTGGCACCAATCCAAGATCTACTGCAAACACCAACAGTCCGAGCTCATCTCTAAACCAGTCAGGTGTGAGGACCAGTCTTTCCCTGTCCAGCCCATTCTCTACAGTACTGCTCTTTAACTTTTATTAAAATGCAAATCAAGGCCAGGCCTGGTGGTGCATGCCTGTAATCCCAGCACCCTCGAGGCTGAGGCAGGAGGATTCTTGTGAGTTCAGGACCAGCCTGGGCCACAAAGTGAGCTCAAGGCCAGCCTGAACTGCACAGAGAGACCCAGTCTCAAAAAAAAAAAAAAAAAAAAAACAAAAACAGAAACAAAAAAAAAGAAGAAAAAAGAAAAAAGTGAGAGAAGCAATATATAAGGCAGAGAGAAATCAAATAAAAATGATAAATACAAAAGGATTTTCTTCTATATCAGTAATTATTTTGAATGTAAATACATTAAAACCTGCTAAGAGGACAGAAAAGGATAATAAA